TCCCTTTCCTTGTTCACATACGTGTTCCAGCAACATGGTAAAACCATATCCCAGCTACTACTCAGTGAATGTCTTTGGCTACTCAATTGCTGCTCCTTGAAGTTGCTGCTGTTGTATCACAGTCCAAGCAGTCAGTGACTTTATTTGCTTGCTTTCTTAGTACTTGGTGTTACTAAAACAAATGTTTGAGTGTGGCTAAGTAAATGAGTGATCAGGATTACATGATAAAAATCATCTTCCCTGTCATTCCCTGCCCTTTTGTGGTTTGTGGGGTGGTTTTTTTTGTTTGTTTTTGGGCCTGTGGTTGTGTTTTGTTTCTCTGGGTCAGTCAGGCTGAAAACTGAGGGAAGGAGAGGACTGGCTAGGTTTTTTTTTCAGTAGAAGCTTCATTCCATCTGGGAGAGCTTCCCTCACTGCTGTTAGAAAGGTATTATGGCCTCTCTGCTTTGTCCTGCATTGCATTAGTGGCTGCAGTGAAGGCCAGAAAGATGCCAAGTGCACATGTGCACACCCAGGGACACACATTACAGACACGTGTGAAAGTTGCCCTGCCTGCTTTTAACTTGCTCATCCTCTAGCATGAAAGTCCTTGGTGTCTCTTCACTTGCAGATATTCTTCTGTATTTCCCTTCAACTTAGAGATTCAAGTCTGGGGTTTTTAGCCTATCCAGAGCCATGTGTAGTTGAGGTTAATACTGTTCTGGGCTGTAAAAATCTTAATGACCTGCTGCTGAAGAGGCAATGCTCTAAACTCTGAAAAGACTGCAGAAGGCAGGACTCGTTCTTGTGAAGTAGCAGGGCTGGCATTGTACCTTCAGTCTGCCCATGTACCTTGGAGGAGCTTGTGTTCTGCTGCAGTGTTTGAGCAGAGTCCCAAGTGAACCAGGCCACAGCAGCAGGCCTTCCCTAGGGTTGAAGGCAATGGTTCCTCTGTATGGCTAAATCCTGTGTTAGTTCTTGAAATGGTAAAAGGAAAATAAACAGATCTTTGCTTTTAAAGATACTTGCAAGTAAATAAGATGTCAGTCCTGGTCAGAGCAAGAATTGCCATCGTTGGTGCTGGTATTTGTGGAGGCAGGAATGTGGAGGGGTGAGGTAGCAGTGGAGAAAGAGCTGTCACCTTCACCCACTCCTGCCTGCTGCCTTCATGAGGCTGACCCTGGACACGTCTGTTGGAACCATATCCTCAGGTACCTGTTCTCCTGAAGTCCAGAGCTCTCTGGTGTCAGTGTTCTGGTCCAAGTCCAGCTTAGTTCATAACTGCTGTAATCCATTCCTTGGCACTCATCACCTATCAAGGAGCAGGATTCTTGACTAACCCAGTATCAGGTCAGGACACAGGACTGGTTTTAATTGCATCTGTGGCTGGTCTTCATGAATTGGTAGATTTATTCCCAGATGATGAGCAGGCCAGGGCTGCATAGTCATTCAGCACTGCATAGTGACAGCTCTACTTGTGCTGCTCCTTGTGATGCCAGTGTAACTGCCCTTCCACAGTCCTGCTCTGTCCCCTTCACCAGGACAGAGGTACTGTCTGAGTGCAGGAGTAAGCCCCTAGGAATGAGGGATATGCTTCTGGATTCATACCTCACTCTTTTCTTCTGGAATCTTCCAATTGCTTCATGATTCGTGAAAAAAACCCTACCACTGTTTGGTCAGCTTTACTTTGCCAGCTCTTCAGGAGTCTTGGGAGAAGGTGCTTTGTCTGTTGTCTTCTTCTCTAAATACCTTCTCTAACTTTGTTCATGATAAGGGGTTGGGAGGAGTTTTCATTTTTGTGCTGCAGTGAGCCAGATTCATTGTAAACCTGAGGCAGTATCTGCTGGAACACATCTGCAGAACCTTGGTTGTCTTTACTGCCTTGCAGTGCATTCTGCTGTTACTAGAAGCTCTTCATTCTTACTCGGGCTATTTTTTTTTCTTGATTTCTTTTGCATAATTTGCAAGTTTAATTTCTACTTTCTGTACGTTGCTTTTATGGCAATTATGCACAAAACAGAAAGAACTGGCTTTGGTGGTTAGATCCAAGAGGGAATTTGTGTTCACAGTGAAGGACAAGTAGCTTATGTTCTGAAGTTGTGCTGGATTCAGCAGAATTTCACTGAGGACTTCTTCAGTCTTTTTTTCCTTTTTTTCATTTTTTTTTTAATTCCACAGAGTATTTTAAGTGTGTGCTCAGATATACAGGCACTTAAAAACCTGGGCCTGGAGGAGGGACCTGCATAAAAAGAACTGTTAGATCCAAGAGGGAGTTTGTGTTCACAGTGAAGGACAAGTAGCTTATGTTTTGAAGTTGTGCTGGATTCAGCAGAATTTTACAGAGGACTTCTTCAGTCTTTTTTTCCTTTTTTCCTTTTTTTTTTAATTCCACAGAGTATTTTAAGTGTGTGCTCAGATATACAGGCACATAAAAACCTGGGCCTGGAGGAGGGACCTGCATAAAATGTAATGATTCAGAAAGGTGTACAGTCTGCATTCCTTCCTGGTGTCATTCCCTGCGTTTGACAGGGTGTATTTTAAAGCAGAAGACTGAAAATGTAATTTACAAGATTGCTTATATTTAACTTTTTTTAATAATCTTGCAGGGGGGAGCCTAAAACGTGGTATGGAGCCCCAGGGTATGCAGCTGAACAGCTGGAGGATGTGATGAAGAAGCTTGCTCCAGAGCTGTTTGAATCTCAGCCAGATCTCTTGCACCAGCTTGTCACCATAATGAACCCCAACACTTTGATGGCCCACGGAGTGCCCGTATGTTGTTGGACTCTGTTACCATTTGCTCTGAATTCAGTTCATTTGCACTGAATTCTGCTTCCAGGCTGATAACTGTAGTCACATTTGTTACAGAGATGTGTGGTAGTTTCCATGTGTGTTGCATCCTCCTTGTCTGGTGTAGTTTGCCAGTACGAGCAGATGGGCAATTGAATCATTGCTTTTGGAATTGCTTGGCAAACTCTTCTCTGGAGATCCACCTTCACACGTGTCTGCTGCTGTGTCACAGCTGGAAGGTTTACTCTCCACCTCTGACACAATGGCAGGAGCTCCTCCTGTGTCTGTCTAATCTGACACTGGTTTTTTTGCTGGCAAGGAGCCAAACCCCATTCTTCCTTTATTTGTCATCCACATCCTCTTATTTTTGCTGGATAAGTTCTGAAATGTTTAAAAATAGTTTTCATCAGTTTCCATCATATTCCATAGTAGATTATTCATGGGAATTATGTCCCTTTACAACTTAACTAGCTTTAGACTAGCTGACCTCGGGACTTAAAGAAAGGAGAGAAAATCTGGAAATCAAGTAGCAAAATCTGTGGTGTCTGCTAAGCTTTGAGAGACTCCAGAATTGGAAGATGCAGAAAGACCTGCCTGCTTTCATGCTGGTTGTATAGGGCCAGAAGTATTAGGCTTACAGCTGTATGACCTTTTGAGTAGGTTCCAGGTTTCTGTTCCCCTTCAGCTGCCTGCTGAAGAGAGCCTGTGCCTGTGCCTGTGCTTTCCTGAGGTGGCTGCACACAGAGGTGACCAAGTGCCCAAAGCCCAGACATTGGACTTGGAGCAGCTTAGAGTGCAGGTGTGGCTTAGTGAAAGCACTTGGCTTTGAAGGGCTTTATGTGACAAGTTACCAAATACCAGCTGTAATTCTCAGGTTTGTTTTAAAACTCTGAAGTCATCCTAGAAGTCACAAGGAACTGGAAATCTGTAGTCTCTTTGCAGCCCTCAGTTCTCTTTAGGCTTGACTCAATGCTTGTGTGTCTGTTCTCCTCCTAGGTTTATCGAACCAATCAGTGTGCTGGAGAGTTTGTGATCACCTTTCCAAGAGCTTATCACAGTGGCTTCAATCAGGGTTTCAATTTTGCTGAAGCTGTGAACTTCTGCACAGTTGATTGGGTATGTTCCAAAACCAGTTTTTCATTAAGTAAGCAGTTCCAGAGTTGTTTCTAGCTGATGTACAGCACTAGCTTACTGCTAGTGCACAAACCTAGTCCCCAGATGAGGAGGAGCCTGCTACTGGAAGCATAATGTCTTGCTGAAGGTGTTTCTTCCAGGTAGTGACTTGTAGGCTTTCTGTGGTTCCTTAGGTTTTTTACAGCAGGAGGTAGATAAGGTCCCATGCATGGCTGGAATGAGAGAAGCACCAGTGCTGCTAGAATCTCCTCCTTGTGTGACACCAAATTAGTTTCAAATCATCAAGAGCTGGGAACTAAATTTTCTGCTTATTGCACTGGGAATTCTCTTCAGAGGTACTTTCTACAGCTGAGAAACAAAGGTGACCAGGACTTTTCTACTTCAGCTTCTGTGGTTAAACCATGTGATACATTTAACACATTAAGAACCATTAAAGGCTTTGATAGGGCTTTTGGGGAAAAAAAATAACTGCATCTGATGTGAGTACATCTTCTTGGGTAGCAGAGGTGCTGTAGGTTTTAAGGAAGAACATCTTAATGAGAATGGAACAGAAAGCTTTCATGTTCACACAAAAGGGTTACAGACCAGCACTTTGTTAGGCATACACTGCAGTTATTAGCTCAGTCATTCACTAAGTTATTTGTCTTTTTATAAATGAAAACAAATGGAGGATAGTTGCTCCAGAGTTACAAGTAATCTTTTCTCCTTCCCAGCAGATTCCTTAGACACACTGTTGCCTGATCTCAGAAAGATCCTTTGAAACTACAGCTATGTCAAATTACTCCTGATTATTTTTTTTTTTCCCCAAAAAGGTCTTTGTTATTTGTAAATGTAGCCCATCTAAAAATATTGTGAGATTTAAAAAACGTGACTTAGAAGTAGGAGAGAACTAAGACTGGAAGAAAGCTTTCTGCATTGTGACTCTGTCCACATATCAGTTGGTTTGGGTTTGATTTTTCCCTTTGCCCTTCCATGAGTTTCATTCTGGACTCTAACACAGGCTCATCGTAACCTGAGCATCACTGTCTGCCTGGCCAGTGCCAGCCTGGAAATAAAGCTGAGTAACCTGCCTGGCTTATAATGAATTGTTTACTCTGCCTGGGGTTAGTTAGGGACTGTGATGGTTCATGGAGTCAGCAATTTCTCATGCTGCAGCACAGCTCATGTCCTACATGAACAGCCAGCACTGGAGAAAAAGGTCCAGTGTGCCCAGCAGCCTGCCTGTGATGGGACATCCCTCAAAGATGAGAACAGGGCAAGCTTATGGACTCTTCTTTTTGATGCTTCCCCAGTGTCCATTTTTAGGTTGGGCCTTCCTTAGCCCACTGTGGTTTAGTAATTAGTTACCCTGATTACAGGCTCTTTTTGGATAGTGCATTCCCCCTGTGAGCCCAGCTAAACAACTTCCATCCACAGTGCCCACTCTAAGAGTTCGAAGCACTTTACAGGAAATCAGGGGCTTGATTTCTCTAGTGCTACACTCAGAATTCTAAATATTGTTGCTAGAAGGATCTGTCTTGGGTAGTTTTTGGTTAGTAGCATATCAGCGTGTTCTCTGGATGTGATTTTCCACATGACCCCACGTGTCCCCTGCTCCCCCAGCTGCCGCTGGGCCGCCAGTGCGTGGAGCATTACCGGCTGCTGCACCGCTACTGCGTCTTCTCCCACGACGAGATGATCTGTAAAATGGCCTCCAAGGCAGACGTCCTGGATGTTGTGGTGGCATCTATGGTTCAGAAGGACATGGCTATTATGATTGAAGATGAGACGATGCTGCGTGAGAAGGTTGATAAACTGGTGAGTTGTAGAAGTACTGAACGAAGGAACAGTTGAAATGGTGGCGTGAAAACGTGCTGGGACTTGTGCTGTGTTGTCAACAGCTGAGAGCTGCAGGGTGCCTTCCTGAGGAGCACTGTTGATTTCAGAGGCCCACTGGGGTAAAGAATCATTTATTGTGCATCTTGTTTTAGCATCTGCCCTTTAATATTGCTCAGAATGTCTCTCTCAATTTGTTTTTTCAGTAATTCAGTCAGAATATCTGGGATTTTATTACCCATGATTTCTGTCTACCTGGTTTTAATGTCATATTTCTAGACTTCATTATTCCATTGAATTTAGCTTCTGATGTTTTAGCTTTCAATAATCACCTCTCTGTTAGAGTCTGAAGTGACGTAACGTGCTCCTTTGCAGGGAGTGACTGACTCAGAGAGAGTGGCCTTTGAGCTGTTTCCTGACGATGAGCGACAGTGCTTGAAGTGCAAAACCACCTGCTTCATGTCTGCAGTTTATTGTCCATGCAAGCCTGGGCTACTCGTCTGCTTGTACCACGTTGAGGATCTCTGTTCCTGTCCCACCTACAAATACAAACTGGGGTAAGCTTTAGAGACCAAACAAAACTGTGTTCTGGATGTATTTATTGTATGTTAGGCATTGTGGTTTGATAGCATAGTGCCTGCTCTGTTCAGTCGATGGTACTAGTCTCAGTGCTGTTTCTCAGTCCTTTGCAAATACAGTGCCTTCAAAATAAAATGCATGTTTTGTGTGTGTCTACAAAGACTCTTTCTTCTCAGCTTTCAGCTCTTCTTGCTCTATAATGACAAAAATTGCTGGATAAGTTAGTTTGCTGTTTTATTTATGGCAACCAGCTCATCATCCCTTACATCCAGTCCTTGCTGAGTAGTGTTGTGTTGCTTTTGTTTGCTTTCCTTCCTGTCATCATCTCTCCTTTCTTCTTGTCTGGTGCATCCTTGACCCACGTGAGCATAGCTTGTCGTGTGACAGTTTCACACTTGCTTCAGCTGTACCATTGAAATGGCTTCTTGGGTGTTGAAATTGTCTTAGGAGCAACACAGTCTGGTTGTAGATCTTCATGGTACAACCTGGGGTGCACAGTAGATCATTTCTGTGCTGCGTGGACCAACACATCCTGATGCTCCTCCCTTCTCCCTTGGCTGTTGTTGGCAATGTTGAATGTTGTGCCTCTTGCAGGTACCGCTATACCCTGGAGGAGCTCTACCCAATGATGAATGCCCTGAAGATGAGAGCTGAGTCCTACAACGAGTGGGCTTCCAACGTTAACGAAGCTCTGGAGGCAAAGATTAACAATAAAAAAAGTCAGTATCTTACCTCTTGTCTGCAACACATTTTAAATGGCTATTTTTTCAGTTTTTAGTTTCTGAGCCATAGCAACTTTTGTCTTATTCAACAATCGAAAGAAATCATATATAATTTCAAGTTCTAAAGTAAATATTTTAGCTGTTATAGTCCCAGAAAATATCCTAAGCTGGCCCTGAATGAGAAGATTGTAAATCACTTTAACACAAAATATAACTGACATTGAAGTATATTTAATATATTGTGTTCTTTAGCCTTATCATTTAAAATCCATCAAAAAGGGAAACTTTTATTAACTTAGTATCTTTCCTAAAAGGTCTCATCAGTTTTAAGGCTTTGATAGAAGAATCAGAAATTAAGAAGTTTCCAGACAATGATCTACTGCGACACCTCAGGCTGGTTACACAGGATGCAGACAAATGTGCCTCGGTTGCACAGCAGCTTCTTAATGGCAAAAGACAAACAAGGTAAATGTTACTGTTTGTGTTTGCAGCAAAATGAAGTCACCTAAGATAGATGCCAGTGCTCTGTAAGATTTAAAAATGGCAGCAATCTTTTTGTCTTCTCTAGAGAGCCATCTTGTACAGGGAGATTCATGTCTGTTGCATGTAATAAGTTAAACATCTTGAGCTTTCAATCTCTTCTCCCTGTGTTGGACAGGTGGGCAGTAAATTCATTCCAGTCTTCCCCAAAAGGAAAAATGGGCGTGGTATTTCTAGAGAAAGCAACACCCAGCAGGATACAGGCATGTCTTTGTGCTGTGGGGACTGAAAATCTTCTGGTGGTGGACATGTCATTATAGTCATTACACTTTGTCTTGTGGAAGAATAAAGTGTCTCAGCTTCCTGAGTTGCTGCTCCTGGGGTCTCTGTGTGAGATCTCTGACAAATACTCTCTCTCTCTGTGGCAACGCTCGTGTTAAATCTTTTGGGCAGGTTATTTGCTGGAGGAACTTGAAGACAGGGCAGTCTTGGGGTAGTCCATTCTTTGTGAACTGGATACCAGGCTGCCTAGTCCTGCTAGCACTTCCCATATCTGACATGAGCTGCAAGGAGTCAGAAGATCCAGGACAAGGACAGATCTCCTTGCTGCACCAGTGTGATTGTGGCTGTATTGATGTCCCAGCCTTTCTCCTGCAGCTCATGAATTAGTCTTCTGTTGCAGATTCTCCACCAGACTAACAGGGGCTGCAGCTAGCCTCACGGGAGAATAGGTTTCTAAGGAAATCTTGGATTTAGGAGTGTGGAAGACAGTTTTGCTCAAGTCCAACAATCCTAACAGTGTGAAGTTCTTCAGAAAAACCTCTCGCTTTTGTCCCCTCTGGACAACTTTCACCTTTTCTGCTGCTTTGAACTACATGGTGTTTGTCAGAGTTGCTCTTTGTGCTGCTGGAACTGCACTGTGTGGTTTCTGTGTGTTGTCTGCCTCAGCAGGA